CAGCTCTGATCTCAACACCACCTCTCAGCTCTTGGCCAGGTTAAAACCACATCATTTTGCTCCCTTATTTCATATTCCACATTCTCAACTGCCCAAGCACACAATGTTGCTATATCCTGCTGGATATAACATCCACTGTCTGTTCAAGTTCCTCTGGGAGATTTCATCCAAAATAAATGTTCTCTCCTAAACAAAGTTAGGAAAAACATTTGTTCCTTATCTGATCCCTCGGTAACTTGTCTGCTTTGGAGGAAAACAAGGATACAGCACAAAAGACACCTGACTGACAAGGTCCACCTTTTGGTAACTTTATGGCAAGAAACCAAAAAACCAAAGCCTGGTTTCCAAACCTGGGGAGTTATGTCTCACACAGTCTGGTGTTCAGGAACAGCTTCTGTTCACAAGTAGCAGACTGATGTCTGTCCAACTCCTGTCCTTGCCAGAGTTGGAAGGATGCACTGAAGGTTACTCTCCATGTGGCACATGCAACCTGCTCTCATGCAAAACCTGCACAACTACAAAATCTGCAAGAGATACCTGAGTCAAACCAAGCTACCACTTACCATTTTGCAGATACTCATGAAATGATCAAGCAATGTGGATTTATTTTTTTTTTTTAACAACTAAGAAACAACGATCTCATTAAAGCCACAGCCCTTTACCCTAAAGTATGAAAGCTCAGCAGGAATTTCCCACTGAAATCCTTAGAAGAAAATGTATTTACCACACCTAAAAAACCTAAACAAAACAAAAACTAACCAACCAAAAATAAAACCACAAACCAAAACCACAAAACCAAAACCACAAAACCAAACAAAAAAACCCACCTTAATTTCATATTCAAAAATCAATTTGAATAAGTTTTGTTAAAACACCACAAAAATAAGCAATCTGCAGCTAAAAACTTAACACAGGACTTTCCAGTCAGGACAGTCGATTTGTCAGTCATGTGTTATTTGAAACAAGATGGGAGTAACTGCCTAACAATACCCATCTCAACCACAGGCGTGCTCATCTGAGCCATCTATAACAATAAGAAAACCAACATTCCCCTTGAGGATTAAAAAAAAAAATCCTCAGCAACCAAGTTCCAAACTGCCTGAGCTTACAGCTAAGGAAAAATAATACAAATGAGGCTGCCCTGTGTATTAAATTTTTGTTCTTTGTTGGCTATTAATAGGCAAGTGTGGTGAATGTAAGATGATATTCAGATAATTTCTAGCCTTTTACCAGCATGTTCTTCCCTTCCTTCCCCACAGCTTTTTGTCTTCCCAACCGAGGCCCCATTTCAGGGAGCTCTGACTGCAACATCAGATGCAGGAGCTGCAGGAAGGGCAGGACAGGTCCTGCACTGCCTCGAGACACTCGAGCTGCTCTTGGGTCTTCAATCAAAGAGCCTGGCATGCCACCAACACCAGCAATAGCTTGACCAGAGATTAAAAAAGACACCTCTTTCTTATACACATATATAAAACAAGCCAGTTAAGGATCTGCAGGAGCTGCAGTTTCTTGGCACAACACCACTTTCTCCAGCCCAGCTGCCCCCATCACTGATGGGAACAGCCTGTTCTGCTCACCCCTGACGCCTTGTTTAGTGCTAAGAGAGCTCATCATGAATTTATTTCTTCTGAAGAGCTGGAAGTCACTGGTTTTGTACATTCCCATGCTCTTTAATTATGTGATTGTTCCATTACAGCTTAGTTCCACAAGCTCTTCCTTGTGTCAGGCTCACATCAGCCAGTACCAGTGAACCTGCACACAGGCTCAGGATTGCAGCAGCATAAATAACTGCAGTGGCACACTCTGTGACACTTCAGTGGTGCTCCTTGTCATTTACCAGGCCTGTGGGTGAAGAGATCAGAATTAGAGAACTACAAATCAGAGCTGTCCCACATGCTGAATACTTTTTGTGACCACTGCCACACAAAATCATTATCTTTTGACATCGGCCTGAATGCAAGCACGAGTTACAAAGAGGAGCAATACGTGGCCTTCAGGACAGAGGCAGACACAATAGCTCAGCCCTGGATGTGGGTGTTACCAATGCATGACTTTAGGTCAAGGAAGTTGTTTGAGGGACAGACAACAAAGGAGCTGACTGCCAAAAATTTATGGGCGAGGAAGATGTGAAAGGTTATTCTCAGCTGTGTATTTCACAATAAAACTCCATCAGTGACATACCCTGCCAAATAGTACAGAATTTACTGCAGAAAAAACTGGTGGGTACCTCCTGCCATTGCACAGGGGCTCCAAGTCCTGCATGAATGCTATGGATGATGTTGATGATTGGCACACTCTTGCAAAAGGCCTGGCAATCCTCAACGGTAGAGATCGCCAGGAAAACATTCTTAGTTTAAAGTTTAGAAAATGATACATATTCAAGTCTTAGAAGTTTTGTAAAAATACATTTGCCTTGGGGAAACAAAATGTTCAAGAAGTAATGGCAGCTGCAAGTGATAATTCCTCCCTCCACCTTTCAAATGTGACGCTTTGCTTCTCTTGATTCTTATCCCTCAGCCTTATCTCTTAGCCCTTGTCTTTCCTTCTGAACTTTCCACCAGGACACCAACAGCTCTGATCCAACAACCAGCAATGAGAAATCATTAAAGTAAGGCATACCAATGGAAAAGGCTTGTCCTCCCTGCTCTAATGGCTCTGGCATTCACATTTACCTCTAAGACAAGAAATTCCCAATTCATTACCCAGTCAGGCAAAAGGATTTACATAAGCCCCCACACCAGTGCTTTCTGTCCTTGATGCTGGTGCTCAATATGAACTTGAGTGTGTAAAAACTTTCCTTTGCAAAGCAAAGCAAAACAAGCAGCTTCTCTGGTTTATTTTGGGAAGAAAACTAAGTGTAACAATTCCATATCGCAACACACCTCTCCACGTTCTGAGCATGTCCAGTATCTTGTACAACAGCACAGTAATTAGCATTCAAAACTTCCCTAGACCATTTTGAAACAGGAATTAAATTTTAGCTCCATTTTATTGCTATGTCAGAGAAAACTGCTGCAAATGGAGCTTACAAAAACTAAAGATATTTTAAAAAAATCCAAAAACCACTCCTCTGACTAGGGAAGCAAAAGAGATGCATAAACCCACAGAAATCATGTAATTTCTTCTGATCGGTTACAGTGACCCTTCTCAGAGGGATGGGAAAGGACACTTATAGGTGAATTCTATTTGATTTATGTAAATACAAGCAGAACAATCAGCTAATGCTAAAATAGAAAAAGAACTAAAGAGCTTAATGGAAACGCTAAGATCGTGGAACTGAAAGGAGGTAAAGAATAAACAAGCCAGGATCTGAGACCCAAAGGGCAGAGTACCCAAAACTGTGGCCAAGTCTGGGGAAGAGCTTCCCTCCTTATCACTGGAGCTCTCCTCCACCCTCACTGCCATTGCCAGAGCACTTTGTACAGCAGGGCACAAGGGTTACAGATGGCTGAGCACAGTCTGGAAGCAGCCAAAGGCAGCTCTGTGTGCAAGGATGATCTGTGCAGTGGTGATTTGCACTCCCTGTGCTACATTATTTGTTTTACAGTATCAGTGCAAACATTTGTTTGGGTTTCTTTAAGCCCAGAAGCCAACGGCAACAGGCCGAGAGGATATATGTGCATATATCCTTCTTTCTATCCTTTTCTCCACTATCAATAATTATCAGTACATGGACCAATATCCACTGAACTCAGGAAAACAGAGAACCTGAAATATGTAAGTACCTCTCCATTGTTAAAAATATTAATTTCTTAGAAGAGAGATGTTTAATTCCTCTCCCACAAGCAATGTCCTGTTAAAGCAACTATCAGACACCAAAGAAGTCACATAAGTGAACTGGAAAAAAACAGCCTTCAAAATAAAATTCTACTGCTTGAAGCAGTGCTTACTCTTGAACACAATTTATAGTTATGTTTACACTCTCACCTAACACTGATGTTACAGCCTAGTGAGCCTAATTTAGTAGAAACCATTCCAGAAAATAGATCTGAAGGCAACTAAATAAACTACAGCATTTAGACAGGGAAATCAACCTTCTTTTGGTATAGGAAAGTCAAGTTCCACAAATCTACAGGATTTCTCACAAGGCCCTCCCTTACATCAGTGGACTGTACTTGACAAAGCCTGCTTTAATTTCCAAGAGACATTTAACAAGATTCTTCAGAAAAGGCCCTTAAAGAAATTTAGCTGCCATGGCAACAACAGGCCTTGCATGGACAGGTTACCTGGGGAAGGGACAGGAGACAAAGAGCAAACTCCCAGGGGAGTCCCACAGGAGAAGGTGTCCCTGAGGACTTGGACAAGATGATCTGTAAGGTCCCTTCCAACCCAAACAGACCCAGGATACTGGGAATGTGAGCTGGAGGCCAGACTGGGACACTTCCATCCAGAAAAGAATGCCAACAATGTGCTGATGGCACCAGGCCACTCTGGCAGGGCAGGACCAGCCCCGAGGAAGGGAAGAACAAACACAGGCTGCAGGCAGCAGAGCTGCCAGGGGGCACTCAGTGAAGTCAGAGTTACCCACAGAATCCCAACCCTACACCAAGCAATGGGCTCCATGCTGAACACCCACACCCAGCACAGGCACACACAGCTGAGCCAATCTGGACCTTGCACCTGAAGGATCCCCATCTCCAAGACCATTTTTCTGCAAAAATATTCCTGCCACTGACCTTGTATCACCTCTTTCAACTCCTGACTCTGGCAGCCTGAGTCCATTCACTCATTCATTCACCTCCCTCCCAAGCAGAGGAGTTTGCCAGGTAGGGAATTGAGCTCCAGGGAAGGTCAAGTGAGCAGCAGCACAAAGGGAAGGGAGATCTGTACAGCTGTGGAGACACAGATTCCTCTCAGCTGAGGCAGGCTGGCAGAGCAGCTCAACCATCTTGTGCAATTCCACTGGCAGCAACCAGCTCATGTGCTCTTAATGAACAGATGTAGAAATTAACAATGCAAAACTGGTACAATGAGTATGCATTTAAGGTGGAATTCATTACCCATTTGCAACTGAAGTTTCATTTTCCACTTATAAACACAAACATGTTGGTATCTTCCAGGTCCTTGGGGATTCTAAGCCTAAAAGGAAAGAGAGAAACCCTCATGTGGGGGAGAGCAAACAGACACTCAGCTTGTTACTTGATTTTGGTTTCAAAAAACACCTCCACATGGTATGCTTTAGTATGTAAAAATGTATCCAAGATTGTTTGGATTTTTTTTTATTTTACTGTAAAAAACCAGTTGACATTTAGAAATATTTCTGACACACAGCATAATCCCTAAGTAACTCTACAAATAAATATCTTTTTCCTGTGAGCTGAACAATCTGTCAATGCTGTTTTCAGTCAGCTAACCTGCCAATATAATACAAGTCTGCCATTTGTAGAGTTACAGAATATAAACTCACTAGTTTTATTTATAGAATAAATAACATATCTGCTGCTGAAACCTTGCACAGCAAGAAACACAGTTGGCTGGGTGTTCCCTCATGCTGCTTTCTAGTAAAACATGACTTTTGAGAACCACCTGAAACAACCTGCCCTTCAGCTGAAGGGGGACAGGCTTAAGAATTCCACCTCCTGCTCCTAATTCTGAAATAAATGATTAATAACTGTGTGACTGCAGCTCACAATACACTCCCACATCAAGCCTTCACGTCTAATAATGCTGACAGCTGTGACTGAGAGCCTGTCCCACCACACCAGGCGCAACCTTTTTGTGTCTTTTAAGCCCAAATTCCCCTCTGGACAGGATGAGCAGCTGGTCAGGGACCAGGTGCTGGTAGTTTTGGGCAGCCACTGCTCCCAGCTCTGGGCACAGAGAGCAGTGCCCACCAAAGTCAGAGGCCTGAAGGCATGAAAAGCCTCGTATCTGCACTACTTGTACTTCATTTGGAATTACCTGAATTTTTATATAGGCATTTTCTCCCCAGATATTCCAAAATTAAGGCAGAGTTACTCAATTTACCAAGTTCATGTCATACCTACAGTTCAGAACAGGACACAGGTGACGCTGTTTGGGCCCTGATGGATCTCTTGTCCAAGGCATCCTATCTCAAGCACACTGTTATTATTAAAAAGCATTTTCCAAATTATAAAATGCCTGCAGGGATGCAAACAAGGAAATGTGGCAAAGCTGGTAAAGCCAGGAGCACATTTCCTTCAAACCTGAGTTCCTGGGTATTCTCTCACAGTGACACATGAGCTGCCAAATGCTGCAACCATTGCCTACAGACAGACTTCCAAGAGGACATGTCAGAAATTAAATTAGCAAGTCACTACAAAATCACAGCTGAAATTCCCTCTGCAGTTCCTTCCCTTCACCTCTTTCAGCAAGGTGAAGTCTGCCTTTAAAAAAAATCAGTGTGCCTTCACAAAACAACACTTATTTTTGAAATAAGTGTTTTCTGACTGAAAAATCGCAAGAGGTCATGGTAACACTCTCCAAACCACATATTTTCTAAGGGAACAAAGAAATAGGTTTCTGTGTTCTGCTCACATACTGAAATCCCAAACCAACAAAACTGCGTCAGCATGGAAAAGCAAAATACTTCATATCCCTGGATAGAAACAACAGTATAATTATTTGCTCGTGAACTCAAACTTTGTAGGATTTCCCTTTCTTCTCCAAGAACAAAAACCAACTCTCCTCCTTTCTGGTTTTAGCCAAATGAGCAGACAGAGTGGCACTGCAAGCGAGAGATGACAACCTGCAATTGGAGTTTCACAGCTCCACTGATAAATGAGAATGACTACAAGTAAATCCCCAAAACTTTAAAGAAAGCAGGAAGTATTTTGCAGACATGGGCTGGCATTTTAAGTCCTGAAGTCAATACAGCAGATTTAGATAAGGCACTTCCTTATCTTGGCACCAGATTCAGCATCACCTTCTGGGTTTGACTCCAAGCACCAGAAGCCAGAGCCTCATCCCAAAACTCCAAGGTGCAGCATGGGGAGATCCCAGAGAGGCTGATCACCCATTCAGCAGTGTTGCATGTGAATTCTGGCTTTGACATTCCTGCACAACTTCAGTGGAGTTTGCCCCTTTCAATGTCTTGTGGTAACTACAGATCTGATACTCTGGAGTTCTCAGCAGGGTAGGAGAGGCTTTTGTGCATGTTACCAGAAAACAAACCACAATATTACTGTAAAGGCATGTTCTCATCCCAGTGTAGGGACTCTTCTTAGAAAGTCATCTCAATTCAGCATTTCTCTTGCAGCATCCTTACACTTCTATGGGCTCACTTGCCTACTAAAATGTTATTTAAATTACCGGTACGCCAACTTGTATCAGAGCATTTCTTTACAACCAAGGAAAAGAAACGAGAGATTCCACAGTCACCAACACAAACTCAAGGTACATTTTGTTCTTTCAAATGAAAAATATTCACTTGTTGAGTTTTGGACTACCCCAAGGAACAAACATTGTCAATGCATCCAAATATGAGCTATAATATTGTTTACAAACCTTCTCAACTCTCAAAAGGTGCACTGCAGCTGCAGAAGAAGTCACATACAAATCTGCACAACATGAAGGACAGGCTATGGACAGGGACAGGAGCTGACAAGCTCAGAGACCCCAGTCACACAGCTCCAGTGGCAGGGTTTCAGTTGCCCTCACAACTTTGAACCACAGCATACTGGGTGGGGACATTTGCCCAGAAATGCTGTCCCTCAGTGAACTAGTAACTCCAGCACTTTGTAAAACGTTAGGAAGCACCAGAGGCCGTGGACTGCAGGGGCTGTAGACGGATGAAGTGCTCTGAACCTCCAGAACTGGCACTAACTGTTCATCCAGCTTCAGAAAGGCTTCATTCCCACTACCCACTCTCACTGATGTAAATCCATGTGTCCATCAGTGGCAGCAACATAGAATTTCAACTGCACACTCTCTATTGAGCAGCCAGTAAAAACTGCATCCTCTCAGATTAATCACAATCCTGAAGTCAGCCCCTCTGCTCCTGCTCACAAGGAAATCCTGCTGCATCACGGGTTAACGTGTCATTTCAAAATCCTCTGCACCCCTACGTGCATTTTCTCAGACTTTCCAACAAAAAGTCATCACAGTTGAGTCTGGTTTCTAATTCTCTAATAGGAAGAACTTCTTCACATGGTAAAAACACCTTCTGACAGACAACCTGCACAGTGTCTTGTGGCCCAGTGATTTCTTCACAGGTGGATGGGTTATACTGTAAAAACACTCATCAAATAACCTTGCTATAACACTAGGCAAGACCAAGCTGCTTTGGATCCAGAGAATCCGCACTGATCCTTTGCTCACACCACTCCTTTTTGACTAGTATAATAACATGGGAAAGTTAATGAACCCAGACATTTAATGTCATCCATCTCACCAAACATATGACACAGTTTAAGAACAGTTACATTGGTGGTGTGACTTGAAGAAGGCTTTTCATTCCTCAACAACCTCAACAATAGATGTTATCATTAGATTAACTCTGGGCAGCTACAAAATTGTGTGAAATGCAACTGAAATAATCAATACTTACAAAGCAGCTCAATTCAGTTTAATTAAACTCACACTGTCTTCCCAGAAACTAAGTTTTTTGACACTGGTATTGGCAGTCATGTCCCTTTAAGCTGCTCCATGGATACTACAACTATTTTCTTTCTCCCAAGTCACGCTTCCTCCCAGCCACGGCTCACACTCCCTGTTCCACCCTAGGAACACAGGGAGAGCTGAGTGCGGCTGTCCACCACTTCCCGGGATGGGCCAGGTACCCAGTGACCAGCACCTATCACCGAAGCCTTCCACTACTCCATGCACAGCCTTTGCTGTGTTTGAGCCCAACAGCGCAGGACCCCAACCTCGTTTTGTGCTTCTCCTCCACTCCCAGCACCGGCCAGAGGGCACTGCCTGCACTTGGCCGCTCCTGGAGCCACGGATCCCTGGATCCCGGCTCCGGTCCCGCCACCCCCGGGGCTCAGCGCGCTGCTTCTCCCGTTTAAAGCCCGGGGCAGCCCCACGGCGGCGTGACACGGTCCCGTCCCCCGGGCCAGCCAAGGGCCGGCCGCTCGCCCCGGGGCCACGGCACTGGAAACTCGGGGATGAGCCACAAGAGCGGCGGGCGGGGGTCCCCGACCCCGGGGCTGCACCCCGGCCTGGCCCCCCTGGATTCCGGCCAGGCGCTCGGGCGCTCCCGTGGGCCGGGCCGGGCCAAAGGCGGGTCGGGCCGCCCACCGGCTCCCGGAACTTTCCCTCCTCC